GTCTAAGTACTCTAACTGCACCAGATAGTCTTACCAGGGACGACTGATCCCATTCTCAACATCACTATCAATAACTGACTCCTCTTTTTGCATGCCTTGAGGCCTGAACCACGATTACTGATGGAAGTAAGGATTTACTTAAAAGGAAACAGCAGTTCCAATTCGCCCTGATGTTTCTTTTTAAGTTGTCTCATAATTAAAGTGGAACTATCTAGCTGAGGGCACACTCCAAGCAGTAATACAGCTATCCCCTGCTATTTGGTGGACTTTGTGATCCTGGGTGTGACTATATGCCATATCCCTCAGTGGTGGCAGACAGCTTTAATCCACATTTTGCCCAATTGTACTAATCGAATACAATGTTTAGAGTCAGGTTTGTTAATCTCCAGTTAAGAAGCATGCAACATGTAACAGAAATGAACTGCAAGGATGAAGATTTCAGTTTTGTCCCACTGCTTCCTGACTTGCACACTTACAGTCTCCATACAATTTAGAACAGTCTCCAGGTTGCCCTAACATTGTACATATTTTTTCTGGCAATTGCTAGGGAAGCAACAACAACTTTTATATTGGTGATTAGGTTTCTTACTCGAGAGCAGGCATGCCAGTGCCACTGGAGTACAACTTGCTTGCTTTCATCTACAAAAATTACGATGTCCTAAGTACTCTTCCATACAGCACCATTAATGATCAAGTTTTATAGCAAGGACTTTTCCTATAATTCTGATGTTTCCTTTCTGTTACTATGTCAGTAAATCTGTAATTTTAATATTAAGTAGAGAATGTGAAAAAAAATTAGGTTGGAAAGGGCTTCTAGAGTCACTTAATGCAACCATATGCTTAGAGCAGGACTAACTTAAATATTAGACTAGTTTGCTTAGGGCCTTGTGCAATCAGGTTTTGAAGAGCTGCCTGCTGCAACACTGCTAATGTTGCCTTGTATTTTGTTAGCTTTCACTGCTGCAATGGTGAACTTCTAATTAACATTTAGAATGTTAACAATCATGACCTCTAATAACTTCTTTGCAGATCTGCTATTTAGTCAGTCTCCTTCCTACACTGCTGCAATGGGACTATTCTGTCCTAGCTGTAGGACTTTTCCTTCATTTCTGTTCAATTTCATGAGGCTTCCATTATCACTTGCTTGTCTGGGCACCTCAGAATGGCAGCCCTGCCCCTCCAATGCATCAAGCACTGTCCCAATTACTGCCATCCACAATCCTATTATGCATCTTATTGTCCAAGTTGGTTAAAATGTTAAAAATATCATCCCAAGTCTCAAGCCCAGAGGAATATGATTTAGACTTAGAACTGTTGACTATCATTTTTTTTCCCTGCCCACTGGAAGTTCCAGGTATTCTACCCCTGTATTTCTACATACAGTATAATATAATGTAGTGTTGTTTAATCACAAAAGGAAAAGATGGGAAGGAAACTACTGGGTTCAGACAGTGCAGATGCAAAAACTGCCTGCACCAAAAGATGCCTGATGGATGACTTGAATTGGAATTTGGCAGCTCTTAGAGGGAAAGAACTGAGGTCACAAGGAAAAGCTAAAAGGTTCAACAGACATAATCAAGTTATAGATGCATATATGTTGGTATGTGTATAAAATGCACAATGTCACCATGAAAAATTATTGTACAATATGAGGTATGATAAATTATACTGTGGAAGTTCATTTGTTCATTTCTAGGTAGAAAGACTTTAAGAAACTTTTCCAAAGCAAATGAATTTTAAGTGCAAATAGACTTTAAAGTACATAAACATATTAAAATAGCTGGTACAAACACTGTCAACTTTCCATGCATTCTTAGGTAAATAATTGTGGTTAGTGTTTCAGCTGCACAGTCTTTTTAAAAAATTGTATAATTTCTTTTTAAAATTTCTTTTCAATGAACCATGCTTACAGTTCATAAATGCTCAAAGAATGTTCTCACAAAATAAATAATCACGAATAAGCCCTCAGTATAAATTTCTCACCAAAAACACTGCTTTGCAGTGCATTTTCCTGTTTCATTCACTAATGTAAAGCTGTGCTGTTTGCTTTAGCAAAGATGGTCAGTAAGCTTTTTCTATACATGCTACCAGTTATTGCTTAGTCTTCATGAATCTTCTAATCCATTGAGAAAACGGAATTAAAACATGAAAATAAAATAATCGTCTGATAAACAACAGTGAGAAATAAAAACATGCAGTATTTTAAGTAAAAATACCGAGCTACTACCAATGACCAGCACAAAGAGGAAAGAATTTTGCTATAAATAATTTGAAAAACCTAATTTCATTCTGCCACTGTTGCTTGGTGTCTATCAGACTGAGGTCAGGACATTCTCATGGCAAATTTCAAATTTTTACTTTTTATCCTCATAGCACTGTTGGCAGGATCCTGCAAGGTCCCTACAGAATTGAAGTGATGCTCCGCTGAATGATTTGTTGAGCCTGAAGTGTGAATTCCATAGTTTGCATTAACTACCTACATCGTTCCGCTGCCAGCTCTGCTCTTACATGCCAGTGCACATCAATCCCAACTTGCAATAGCCTGAATATTAGTCTTTGGTCTATTTTGAAGTGAGCAAAAACACTGTGCAAAAATGCATGATGATTCCCCTGTGTCCAGAAAACTTCATATTGGACAGAAAAGACAAAAATGTAATCGTCCAATTGGCATCTAGCAAAAGATAAACAAACTCTCCAGATACACGACATAAGGGTAATAAACATTTACTGGTTTAAGATCATTAAGCTTCTGTTCCTCAAACATAAAAAACTGATGAACATTTCATCATCATAAAGTTATTATAATTTCAAATAATTTTTGCTGATTATAAAGATTAAACCCCCGTGTTTGTTCTTTCCTTATTTATTATGGAAAATATATTCCATTCCTAAAATATACTGAAGTGCTATACTTCCACTGGTGAACTTAAGAGCTTATTACCTGTCCATATATAGTCTGAGGAAGTTCTGAAAACCAATGTAAAGAAGATTTTAATTTTGGAAAATTTATGTTTAAGCAGATACAAAATCCGTATCTTCCATTACTAAATTTTACAATTCAAATGCATTGTTTATGCACTTATGCAGTCCTTTATGGTGTATTCTTACGAAAAGGTTTTATAGGTTATATTCTTTATATGCTACTTTATAAAGAAAAAATATTAAAATATAAAAAAAACCATTTATTGAAATGTTTACTTGATCCGGTACCTTTGACATGTATGGGATCAAGCTCTGCGGAATAGAAATATGTTGCCAAAAAATCAAAGATTCCTGGCAAGACAAAACCAGGATGGTAAATATTGATACTCAGATTAAATTTATTGCTGGTAGTATGAAGGCAAAATCTGGCAAAGGAAAATTAAAAATATTGCTAGAATGTATACTACCAATTCCCCATACATGTGTTTGTGGACTAGAGACAGAATGTAGCCATAAAGGACAAGTGAGTGATCCTGTAGCAAGGTACAGCTTTTCAATACTGTTACTTCTGTGGTAATTAGTTTTTGAAAGTAAAAATATTTCACAGAATCAAAGAATAAACACAGCTGGAAGGGATCCTTGACGGTCATCTCATCCAACTCCTATATATTTTAACTTCATTCCAACTTATTTTACACCTTCAGGGAAAATAAGCTTGCTTTACTAAAATGTTCTCTTAGGTGTAAAAAAAAAAAAGTAAAACAAAAGAAAATATAGCAAAACAAAACACACCAGTGTAAAGTTTGAATTACAGTGTAAATGTTTGAATTACTGACCAATGTTACTGGTTCCACTATATTTGAAGAGATATGAACCTTTGCTTGGGTATGCTGTCCGATAGCACCAAGAGATCTGGCAGTGCCCGTTATTGCCCATTTGCAGCATGAGACTATTCACCAGGTTACTAAATGAATTTTCAGTTCATATCCTTTTCTGAATTTAGTCAATGCTCGTTGCAGGACATACAGGTTACTTGCAATGTTATACTAGCAAGTTCAAACAAGTAACAAAGATGAAAAGCTTATTAAATTTTATCTTTGCAGGATTATGCTTGATGTGATGCAATTATGATCACTAAGGTGTAAGACTGAATAGAACAAAGTTTAATAAACCAACTTTCTGCTTTCTCAAGAAAAATGGATATACACAGATGATAAAAACCCACCCTCCTATAACAACAAGATTCATACAGTAGTAATTAAACAATATTTCTTCCTGAAAATAAAACAAATTCCACATGAGCTTCTGAAGCAAAATACTATTCCTGAAATTTTCCATAAAGTCATACAAAGACAAAACAAAGTAGGATTTCATAGCCATTATACTAGGTCGGTTTGCAGACTCAAAAAAGTTTCAGGAAATTTAAGCAGATGTCGTAACATGTTGATTAAATTAGTCTGAACAACACTGGACAATGTATTACACAAAAGGAGTACTGGTAAGAAAGGCATATATATATTTTTTGCAACAGAAAATGTTGAGACAGTTCACCAGTTGTCAGAATGGTACTAGCTGGGCAACAGGTACTGTATATGCAAATTTTTGGTCCACTTTTCCATGATATGTTTACTGCCTCCTTTTCATGCTTCTAAATAGTATGCAATACTCTGTTCAGTTTGTTAGTAATTTGAAAAAAACAACAGCTCTTTAACCTTCCTGTTCTTGTAAATGGTTAAGCAGTACCACAAGCCTCAAAAAGGATTTCATTAAATAAGGATTTTAGGATTGACTTACCTGGAAAAAAGTCTGAGCTTTAAAAAGCAGATTATAAAAGTATACATGAGACACAGTTATTTGGTCTAATTATAACATACAACGAAGTATACTGTTTGTGAAATTCTCTGCAAAGAATAATTTATCCACTTTTGTACCACAAAATGAAAGACTGATGAAGATTAAGTTGTCCATAAATTTTAAAAATGCTCCTTTTAATTTTTTTACATGTTTTCTTTTACAGATTGAGATGGGAGAGAAGGAGACACTAAAACTCTACTCATGTCAGTCAACAGACACATAGTTCACATGAAGTAACCAAGATTCCCTACCTTGATAGACTGACTGTAAGGTCCTATGCTAGCAGGTGCCCAGTGGGAAATGCTCTGTACATGCATGACCATCTTTTCATCATGTGTTACATCACTCGTTGCAATGTCATACTTATGTGCAAGGCAGTCCATGTAAAACAGTATTCCATCAGGTAACAGGGTTTCCACACATACTCTGCAAACATAAGACAGTAATTTTTTCAAAGAGAGAGTTTGCTTACACCAACTTTCAACATTTATTTTCCATGGGTTTTTCATCTGGACACTATGTTAGGATATTTTGCTGGGAACACAAAAGTCAGGGTATTGCAATAACCTGCTAGCATTAACAATGCTATCTCCTCTCCAAATAATGATCAGTTTTGGACTTCTAGCAAGATAATTTCCATTACCAAGAAGAAACTAGCACCATAGCCAGTGCCTCAGTTCTATTTGTTTGTGTTTTTTTAAAGAAATGTGTATTACTTTATTAAGAATTCATTATTTCTTTAGTATAAAAACCTCAACCACACTACTTGGGAAATGCCAGGTAAGTTACGCTAAGCAGTCCTCTGACTGAGTGTATCATTGTCATATTCTTGCCTTCACACATTTTTCACTGAATCTGCTCCTGATGTCTGGACCAGACACAGAATGGATAAGGCTGCAAGGGACCATAGCAGGTCATCTGGTCCAACCCCCCTGCTCAAGGAGGGTCATCCTAGAGCACACTGCACAGCATTGCATTCAGATGGTTCCTGAATACCACCCACACAGTAAAAAATTTCTTCCTCATACTCAAGTGGAACTTCCTGTGCATCAGTTTCTGCCTCTTGTCCTATTGCTCCACACCACTGAAAAGAGTCTGGCTCCATCCTTTTGGCACCCTACCTTTAGACACTTGTATACATTGATAAAGTCCCCTATCAGTCTTTTCTTGAGGCTGAGCAGACCCAGCTCCCTCAGCCTTTCCTCATGAGAGAGATGCTCCAGTCCCTTAATCACCTTTCTCACCCTCCACTGGACCTGCCCTGAAAGCTCCATGTCTCCCTTGTGCTGAGGAGCCCATAACAGGACACAGCACTTGAGATAGGGCCTTACCAGGTATGCGTATAGGGGACAGGATCACCTCCCTCAGCCTTCTGGCAGCAGTCTTTCTAGTGCACCCCAGGACACTATTGGCTTTCTTGGCCACAAGGGCACACTGCTGGCTCATGGACAGCTTGTTGTCCGTCAGGACCCCCAGGTCATCTGTAGAGCTGCTTTCCAGAAGGTCAGCCCCAAGCCTGTTACACATACGTTGGGTTATTCCTCTCCAGGTGGAGGAGCCCGCATTTGCTCCTGTTGAATTTCAGATAGATCTTCTCTGCCCATCTCTCCAACCTGTGAAGGTCCTTCTGAAGGGCTCCACAGCACTCTGAGTTATCAGCCACTCCTCCCAGTTTTGTTTCATCAATGAACTTGCTGAGGAGGTACTGTATCCCCTTCATCCAAGTCACTGATGAATAAGTAAAACAAGACCAGGCCCAGTATTGAACTTTTGGGGACACCACTAGTCACAGGCCTCCAACTACACCCTGTGCCCCTGATTATGACTTTCTGGGAACTGCCATTCAGTCAGTTCTCAATCTACCTCACTGTCCAATCTGCACTTCCTGGGTTTGCCTACAAGGATGTTGTGAGAGATAGCAACAAACTTCTCTAAAAAGCAGCATCTTATAGTTCTTTTACACCCTTCTCACAGATTATCATGTAATACTGAGCACATTTTTCTGCTCTACTTTAATACACACATATGACAAGTTATTGAAAACCTACTTAAGCATTCATTTATAAAGTTGACTTTTGTTTCCTCCAAGGAATACTGAGTGCCTTGATGGACAGAGAGTTGGGGGGGGTGTGTGTGGGAAAATCAACATTTCAAATTCTGAAAAATAATTATATTTGCAATCC